CACCCTCTACTCACAAAACAGATATTTATTGACTTAAAGTCCTAACACTGGAAGTAGTTAGATTTTGAAACGAAGTTGCAGTGAAATCGAGGATTCTAATTTCGTCCTACTTGTAACTCGTCAGTTGGATGTACCTGCGATTCTCACTAAGTGATGGCATCCCCACGGAAACTCAAATCCTGCACCCAGTGTGTTAAACTCTGAAGCATGACCCATTAGGCTAGTATGGCCATGTGAACCCCCTCCTGTGCAAGAGACAAGTATCACAAAACTGCTTTTTTATTCCAATGAACGAATATTAATTAACTACTTCCAAACCTTAAGTGTCATCAGTTTGACTTTCCTCTAAAGAGAATAAAAGAATAGAATTAAAGCACAACAACTGTTTCATATACCTAAAGTTTGTTTGCTTTCCTAGTTTGGCGCCAATTCAAAACGAAAATGAATATGAAAATATTCAAATCACATAAGTAAACAGAAGCTTGTACTTTTTTCCCGCCATTAACGTTTTATATACACCAACACAAACTGTTTCTTTTGATAACCATAGAACATTAACAGAAAATATGTCATTCATATATGAAGCATTAGGGAAAATTTTTGAATGAGGCGTTTAGAAGACAAATTTCGCCAAATGATGTCATCACGTAGTAGTTTCTCTACAATCGCTTTTCAACTAACATGATTCACAATAATAAAATAAAGTTCATGACAATTACTCAGTTAAATAAAAAAACAAAAGTACATACTGATGACCAATCATATTTAGATAAGTCATGTAGTCCAGAGTAGGCGAAGATTGAAGTCTATTGATTTTTGTACACACAGTCTAGGTTGTATGCGATTAATCCAAAGTACTTCCATCACCTTCAATAACCTTGAACTAGAGTTATGTGTAATAATTGTGAAACAGTCATTAATATTCATTTTGTGACCTGACATTATTAAGTGTTTTGCAATGGATGATGCTGGATTTCTATCCAGATTATTCGCGTTGGGATTTTCTACATGATTAAGTAACCATTTTGGAACATGTTCCTTTCGACGACATTGGAACATTCTGATGGTTCTACCTATATAGATGTCACCGCAGCTGCAGGTGAACTTGTAGATACAGTTTGAATTAGAGTCCACAGAATTTCGTCATTTAATCGTGGGAACAAGGATCGGAAATTTTTGAGGTGTGAAGGAAAGATATACGGCATGCAATGTGCGCTTGATGGCAGACCGAAGTATTTGAGCTAGCTGTCAACTGCACAATTTGATAATCCTTGAATGATAGGTTAAAGAAGATAGCTTTCTTTGGTACAGAAGTTGTCTTTTCAAGGTGTCGTCTATTTTTACTGTGACAACTGATGAAGAATTCTGGATAACCATTAGCCTGAATAGCTCAGTGGTAACGTCTCTGACTGCAGCACTGGATGACGCAGTTTCGAATCTCAGAAGGGAAATGAGTTCCTTCAAGGTTGCAGATACTCCTTTCTGACAAGTGCCAACTAGAACGAAATCTAGTCCCAAGGCTTCCTGCCGATTGCCTCTAATCATCTAATATCATCAGATGGTTGAAACCTTTTGTGCGTCGATGGTACAGCGGCTAGGACGCTCGCCTACCATGCACATGGTCCAGGGTTCGATCCCCGGCCACCGACGCACTCCTTTACCTCGCTCAGCCAGTAATAAAAAGCTGGTAAAGAGGGAAATTCGGGCATGAGGCTGACAACCCCATCCTGTAAAAATAAACACTGCTACAGAAACTTCAAGCTTGGAGCTTGGAGCCCTATGTTCCACTGGGAACGTGAAGGAATAAAAAACAAAAAACTTAACCGTATTGATGTGTCGAAGATCATCCATCAATCTGTCACTCGTGCACATTTTGCGGGCCCTTGAACACAAACATTTCACTAACGAACTTTTATACTGTGTAGGAAAAAAGCTTACAACTGACAGTTTTTCAAATTTATCAATGTCATTTCATCTGTACGATGTGACAGTCCCAGTCCCAGTAACTTACTTATCAGAATTATCATCTTAATAAGTATGTTAATATCACATTTTCTTGAAAATCTTCTTTTGAAGTGTTTGCAAAATATTTGAGTACTAATCAGTTGTTTTTCAGTGTATATCACTTCTTTTTCTTCTTCTCTAAACTTGATTTATAGAAGAGAAAAAGATCGATTATGGTCTACCGCTGACATTTTCTGACCTTGTACAAGTTAATAAATTGTTGAACGCATTCATTACACAAAGAATAAACGGTAAGTTTGCTTATTCGCTCACATTGTTTTCTCTACGACTTTATGATTAATATACATCTCGAATTGCCAGATGTTGGCGTTCATGGGCGATTGGATCAGGCAGCAGTGTCTGAATGGTCTATAAGCTCGCCTTGTTACCAGAAGGTTCTGGCCTCCAACCAAGGTGTGTGTGTACTGGTGAAGAGTTGCAAACTGTTCGGTACTGTTAGGTTTTTCAATGGTCCTAAAATAATGTCAACCTGTCACAAACTTGGTATGCTATGGCCACCAAGAGACGCAGAACACCTTTTTAACCAACGACTAGGAAAGACAAATTTAGGTTTCAAACAGACGTGAAAGAATGACGAAAGTGAAAACGCCAAAAATCGTTAAACAGGTGAAAATAAAACACAAATTGGATTGTGGCCTGCAACAATGAGCATGAGAAACTGTTGTCTCATAATCTGTACGAGGGTTGAGATGCCTCCCAAGCACCTGGACTGAAGCAAGTGGTTTCCCTAAAGGGCCATCCCCTTCGGCAAGCTTCTTACTTGAAACCTGATTTACAAGAGAGTAGAACAGCACCAGAAGCCGAGTTCCGATGGTTGCGGGAAACCAAAATAAGTTCATGTACCATTCGATCTTTTAATTTTCTGCAACCCTAAAACACTATAAGATTGAAGTCAGGTTTTCTCAGTTTCCCTGAGTTGAAGTTACATCTAATAGTCCTGCTGTAGGTGCCAGATGCTCGAAAATGCCTTGTCTTTTTTGCGAGGAACATCCCCATTTTATGAAGGCAGTGGATAGGACTTACTTGGCAGAGGTTATAAAATCTTGACCTTATCAGAGTATAATAGAAAGAGAGTATTTTGACAGGAAGACCAAAATGTGTCTCTCGGGTCAGTCGAACAGTGTAGTCATTGGTTTCCTTCCACGGTAAGGCTGATAATAATGACAGCAAGTGTAGAGATGTTATGTACAAACACTAAATTTCTCATTATTTCAAAGCTCACATATTCATGTTTCATATATTTCAATAGAAAGACAAACAGTTATTTCAGTTTTAATTATACTTCACGTTTTCCGTCGATTGACTGAACCTCGGTGTCCTGCCTCACTTTACCGGTTGACTCCTAGTAAGGACGCTGCGATAATGTACAAGCATTACCTTGAAATAATTTAGCGGATAGTGACTAGGGGTCATATCCAGGATGGGCATCTCGTCATTTTTCGGTCTTGGTATACTGTCACTGGATGTAATTGTATTCCCAGTGATGAGAGATACCGTCACTTGCATTCAGTTGATGAGTTCAAAAAGGGCGAAGTTCACATCCTAGATTTCACTGCTATTCACAATCCACCAAATTACTCCAATTAGTTCAAGTACGCTTCATCTCAGTTTGGGAATTAGCAGTAAAGTGTTCACACCAGTGACCAGTAACCTTCAGGTTACAAGGTGGGTTCCACGAATTTGGGTGTGAGGAAAATACTCGCCAATGACATTGTCTGGAGTTCGCATTATATAATGAGAATTGGAAAAAGTTATAATTAATAGGCCATTTGATTCCGTCCCAGTTGCTGAATGGTCAGTAAGCTCACCTTGTAACTTCAAGGTCCTGCATTCGATTCCTGGATGGCTTATATGTGTGTGTACTAGCGAAGAGTCCCAAACTAATGCGAAACTGCTGTTCAGTACTTCTTGGTCTTCAGTAGTTTTCTAACTGGTATAAATAATAATAATATTTTGCTTTATTCCAAAAACAGTACTAATGATACAGCAAGGAATTTTCAGCATTCAGTACAATATTGCATCTAATTTACTCAAAAACGACAACAACAGAAAATAAATAAACGAAATAATCATTGCATAATAATGATAACAAACGTTTTTATAGCAGCTATTTAGCAAATTACTGTAAGCAGTACGGAGAAAAATACGCATAAAGTATAAAATTATAGCAATAATAGTAATAACAACTAAAATAAAAGTAGCAAAGTTATAATTAAACGATAGAAAGGGTGACACCATAGAATTACAGAAAGATGAACAATGAAAGGGTCGATTCACTATGCTAATTACATAGTAACTTATATGTTTCACGTCTAACAGAGTCTTCATCACATAAAATACGGCCTAATTACGGTATTGTAGAATTTTTGTCCTTAGTGGTACGAGCATATAATTTCTTATATTGACTTCTCGTTCTACCTGATGAGATACAACGGGATAGTTGTGAATAAAGAGGGTGCAGAGGGTCTGACAGTACGGCCTTTGCCCACTTTGTGCAGGAATTTACGTGTCTCTCGACTATAGTATTGGCGACATGTCTGCAAACTAAAGTCTGTAGACCATCTGTCACGTAATTCACGTTTGTTTTACAAAATTACTAAGGGTGACCTAAGTATTTGAGTAAAAGGTTCGCTAATGAACGTTTGTATGTATGCTTGATATTTATTATTACATTTACCGGATGCATACGAAACATGATTGATAGATAAGGGTTAGCAGTGAATACGCCTTGGTTATATTCATGACCAGATGGCGGAGAAATCATAGGCTGACAGTGTGCATTTGCGTTGCTCATTAACACCATGAATTCGCTTCCTACCTCTACCAGCTTGTTAATCACATAGAAATTGTCATCTAACGTCAAATTTCTCTCTTCCTTTTCAGATCACCTTATTTATTTAACAGAAAAACATGATTTAATGATATTGGATTCAAACACACTGGAAGAAAGACTGCTGTTATCCCATCTCACTATAATGGAGGTAAGCCAACGTTGATATATATATATATATATATATCCATAATCTCTATGACTATTTATTTAGTTAACTGAATTAAAGAGTGAATTTTTTAGTCTTATATCTTGTGCAATTCCACAGTGCGACAGAAAAATGTTAAATCGTATAGAATAAACTATGACAGATGGTAAGAATTAACAGATGCATACATAAGCCCCGTCTTAGTTTTATGCGTATTGCAACTCATCAATAAAAAGGAGCAGGTTATAGGCTTTGTCTGACTCATTACTTTACTCACATCCGTAGGTCTATCATCACGTGTTGAAGTAATAATATTCCATAATAGTAGCTATGATACGGTGTGGAGTTCTCAGCATTTGGTACAATATCACATCTAATTTGCTTGAAGCTTGCTCATCAGTGCATCACTCGTACATATTTCGCGGGATACTGAGTTAAAGTTTAGCTAAAAGCAGCTATCTGAATTCACAACATATCCCTGGCACTATCTGAATTTACCTGGAATACCCCATTCATTGGTGTTTATAACCAAATCGAAATCTATTGACATTCTCTGAGTTGTAACAGCTTCCTTGATTCTGTCAACAGAACAAAATGGGTGATCAACCTCTCATCAAGGAAACTAAGCTCTAGTGAGATAAAAGTACTTGAGAAAGGACTAAATTTCAATGTAAGAGTTAGTAAATTAAAACCAGAGGATGTCATTCCTAACATAGAAGTAGCACTAGGTTCAATAGACAAGACGACAGCAAAAGAGCTTCGAGCACAATGTGCATTAACCCTGAAAAATCAAAAGAACGCAAAATCAAACTTGACAAAATCGGAAAGAGAAGCTTTAATTAATCTAAAACAGGATAAAAATATCGTCATCGCAAAAGCTGACAAAGGAAACGCCACCGTAGTTTTGGATAAATCTGACTACATCAAGAAGGTCACTGAACATATTGAAATGGGTCCATATGAGGAAATTAAGAAGCCCGTAGACACAATAATGAATAAGGTTAAAAAATCCACAGCGGAATTAGTACGCAGAATGAAACCATCACTGGATGAGTGTAAATGGTTTAATTTAATGCCTAAAACTAATAATGCTAGTAGGATGTATGGTACTATTAAAATACATAAGCCAGGTTACCCCATAAGACCAATAATAGATTTCAGAAATACGCCGATAAATGAATTATCAAAACATTTAGCTCTAATATTATGCCCCATTAGAAATCGTTCAAATTCTAGACTAACTAATTCATATGAGATGAAAAATAAACTAAATGACATTCAACTAGATAATGATGAAACAATGGTTAGTTTTGATATAACCAGTCCTTATATTAATATACCAATCAATATGGCCTTAGAAGCAGTTAAAAAAGAATTAACTGCAGATCCTGAACTCACTCATAGGACAAAGTTGCCCACTGAAGGAATTATTTAAGGAATTCACTTATGCCTCACATCTACTATCTTTAAATTCCAAGGCAAAATATATAGACAAACAGAAGCTGTAGCAATGAGAACACCAATATCCTCCATCTTAGCAGACATATTTATGGATAGCTGGGAAATATGGCTCTTAATACGTTTAATCCTACTCCAAAAATATGGTGGAGATATGTGGATGACACATTCACAGTGTTAAAAACAGAACATATCTCTAGCTTCTTGACACACTTAAAATCACTAGTGGAGGGAATAAATTTCACATTTAAATCGGAAAATGAACAAGGAGAATTAGCTATGTTAGACTGTAAAATAAAACGAATAGAAAAAGATAAACTTCACACTGGTGTTTATAGAAAACCAACGCATTCTAATATTTATTTAGACTTTAATTCGTCTCATCCGCTAACTGTTATGGTCTAAATGCCACCCTAATGCCAGCACCATTGAGAATTGTTCTTAAATCCCCTGACATGCCTTCTTTATGTAGCCCTGATGAGTTAAACAACTTAGAAGAAACGGAGCTCAGTCCTTGCACTGCATTTATTTGCATGTAATCACAAAATACAGTGGGTGGGACTGGGTGAAAGTATTAAAAAGTGATATAGTTAGGCGGAAAGATGGAGAGTTTGATAACTGAATCTTTGTTTATCAATTCAACACCGCACATATGCATCCAGAAAGACGCAACGCTTATAACGGAGACATGGAAACTGACAACAAACAACAAAGGAAAGTTGGAGAGACAGAATAGAGAGAAAATACTTATAAGACAAAATTGTGAACCCGTGTGACTAAACTAATGTGATTATGAGTAGCAATAATTTCTGCTTGGAATGTCATCCAGTTGTTAATACTGCATCACTGTGTGACAACTTTACTGATGGTATCTCCCTTGAATTCCAAGCTTGCAATTAGTTTGTTCTCCAACATATCCAAACATGTAATTCTTAATTTTTATCTTGTATCTTTTTAAGAAGAATATTTGTATTATTCAATTTCAGAAAAGTGCGTTTTCGGGAATATTTTCAATAGCGCCAGATTTCTCAGCTATTGCTATAGCATATGAATTAAAAGATGTAAGTTAGATAACATTTTTGTTGTGTACACTTCCTGGTTGCCTATGGTTTTTTATTTTGCATTGTAGCACTTTACATACTCAGGTGGTACACAAAACTTGACTAGACTCTTATTTAAGATTCTCTTGGAACTATAGTCCTGAAAAGATTCAGTAGAGTAGTGAAAAAGGACAGGCACGTCCCCGTCCTAGATGAAGATACGCGTTGGTCAGATATTCACCACTAGAAAGGAACATTGGCATAATTACTTCAGCCCAACACTTAGCATATTTTTCGACTTGATAGCCACACTTCAGGCAGTTGGTTCGAAGTTGATCAGGCACTGTCTGCTTATGGAGAAAGTAGTCGAGAGATATGTTATCCTAGTGATAGCGCTGCATATAAACGCATTTGGCTTATGGGAGGTTGCCGCTTACAGTAATGGAAGCTTTGGGTGTATAGAAAGAAAGATAAGTAACTAAAAAAAAGTCGGACAACTAAGGAAATTAGGGTTCATGACTATTAGTTCCTTGGATTCCAAGTGTACCGTGGAGCTTCAATGGAACATGCCCACTTCATCCCTTTCTCTGAAGTCTCTTCTATTTGACTTCACTATTGCTCATAAGATTTAATTCCCTCCTCAGTTTATTTTCCTTGACTCACAGCAGAGTACTCAACTCATCTTCCACCTTTTGAGATCCACTCGAGCGTATCTTCAACCCACCTCGATTTCCTTTGGCATTTTTGTTGGACGACAGGTTCCACGTTGGTCGGTTGTATAAATTATCTCATGTGACAATGCCTGCTGAAACTGAAACGCCAGTGTTGGGAATGACTTCAGTTATTCAACTGTTCATCAAACCTGTTCTGGTGCCATTTTGAGTCAGTGGCACAGAGGTTAGGACCGTCGCCGACCATGCACATGGTCCGGGGTTCGACCCCCTGCCGACCCACTCCCGATATCAATGGTCAGCCTGCAAAATTGAGCTACCGATATCACATGCTGAAAATTCCCTATTTGTACCAAAAATACGGTGTGGAGTCAAGCTATAATAAAAAAACACGCAGGTTAATGTTCTTAAACCGCCTTTCCCAAACAACTCGCATCTACATGGAGATATAAGCAAAGAACAATGATATTAATATTACCTTAAGTTCCAAGTGGAACATAGGGCTTCAGCATCACATCTCCACTTTGTTTTGTTTCCTGCTGTTCTCTTGAGCTGGGTCCACGATTGCCCAAACTTTTTCATCTCCTCTTCACACGATCTCCTCCATGTTAAACTCGCATTAACGACCCACATGTGGCTTCCCATTTGGATTATACTTGATCACTGGTCTTCATTGCGCGCGATGTCATTCGACGGCATCCTCAATGTATACCTGATCCATCCGTCTTGATTTTCTCCCACATATTTCTTGAGCGATTGGCTCTTGGTTGGTTTGTTCCCAGCCAGAGTTTCTTGTTGCTAATCTTTCCGGCTGGCTGGTTATTGGATCATCAGTATGGAGCAACGAATGGGGACAGCTGTTGATGAAAGTCAACAACCTGTTGGAATTCCTTTTCGTGACACGCCAACCAAGTTTCTGACCCGTATAGAAGGATCGACTTCACATTGGTGTTGAAAATCCGAATCCTTTTTCTTAATGACACGGAGTGCAGAAGATTTCCAAACTGGTTTCAGTTTGTTGAAGGTGTATCTTACCTTTCCAATTCTGACTTTGACATATTCATCCGTTCCACTGGCCTACGGTTGAAACGATTCTTCCTGGCTGGATAAGTGAAGGAGGTAACCTCTGTCAAATCCATCCCATTGACGGTAACTGGTGCTGGTTATTGTTGTGGTTGCTGTTAGTTGGTCGGTTGGTTGTTTTCATCACCTCCGTTATCTCTGTGTTCACCTGGAGTCCTGTCTTTGCTGCCTGCCTCTTCAGCCAGTTTGTTGATTTTCGCCAGCAAGTGTTCGAGTTCGTGTGACCCCAGACACATATCATCTGCGAAATCCAGAACTTCTAGAGTCTTCTTGTAGGTGGTCCTGCGTATTCCAGTCTCCTCGATCCCCACAGTCTGAAACATAATCCAGTCCACCACAATTAGGAATATTATGGATGATAATAGGCACGCAGCCTTGTCTTACTCCTGTAACAATAATACACATGTCACCAGTATTGAAGTGTAGTAGTGCGGCTCAATATCACAGGAAGCATCATGCGTTAAAAACTGCTAAAAGAGGGGACATAAAAGTGTAATTTCAGTTCAACCAACTATCCGTACAGCTAGTTAAAAATAAAGTCTTCCCTAGGACACATCCTTCCTAACTTTCCTACTTTATATCTGTAAAAACGTGATTTCCATCGTTTAAGTAGTTTTAAACATTAAATAGTTTTCTATTGGCTTTTTTTCTCTAAAGTTCTACACAGCGTAAATTCAAAGTGCTTGTAAATTTGAAAAAGACTAAGGAAAAAAAATTACAGATTTTATGGACTTGCTTTTCAATGCATAAAAGTTAGACAAGTTAAACTGCAAAACACATTTATTGCTTTAAAAGTTTTTTAGATGAATATAAATCGAATCGTGGAAAGACAGGATTTTAGCAGAGATAAACATTTTAGCTTCATTGTGGATAAAATTTTTATTTTGATAAAATCACACACAGTGTTATACAATGATATTTACTGATGACCACCTTTCGATCACAAGTTTTCACTGCTCATAATCATAGTAAGTCACTCACACACAACTTCCTTGCTTCATTTATATACATGAGTAAAAACTGATGATGAGACATTTGAATACAAATCCATATAAGATAAAGTACATTCAGAAATAATAATATTAGTGTTATTGATCAAATACAATCAGATGGGAAATAAGATGTTTTTTACAGTAAAAATAGGTAAAGCGGTAGAATGTTATCATGTCAATTGAAATAGATTTTAACATTATTTATATACCCCCTGATTTGACTGGTAATAATATTTTTCATATATCTGGTGTTTCCATTGAGTTATTTCTGTTACATGTGTTGGGTGTAGACTCGACGAACCAGTATTCAGGAATCAACCACCTCTCTCCACCAACCTATTTTACATTTAAGAATTTTGACTCCGTCCCTCGCACCCTAATGTGTGGTTGTGTGTGTTAATGCATGCAGTACTATACCTGAGTTTTTCTCTTAATTACTAATCTTTCTGGGATCAATCATTCTGAACTTAGCTGAATTCTTATGTTCTGACAATCTGACTACCTCCACCTGATCTACTAGTTTGACCAATTTAGTTCACTACCAAGTCACTGCAAGATATTTTGCAAACTATATTATTTTTTTAATTGGGTCAACCGGGTCCTTCAACCTACAGAGCTTGTCCTACCTGATTGATTTTGTGGGTTTGAATAACACCCTAATTCCTGGTTTATTGAAAATCCTACGTAGGGTCTCACTTGTCCTCAGATGTGCTCGAAACATCATCAGTAAATATTATTGTTTAACACTGTGATTTTATCAAAATAAAATATTTATCCATAATGGAGTTGAACTCTACCACAGTTGTAAAGACATCCTTATATCAATAAACATTTTAGTTCCTTATACTATAACACCGCATAAATTGACCAAATTTTCTTTTTTATTGCTTAAAGTTGGGAAATGAGTACTCGAATTTTATGAAATGAGCAGGTTGTTCCTCTTTTCCTGTCGTGTGAATTATACCATCATCACTATTCCTTTGCGTTTCGATCGATACATATGACTTCAACAGCATATCACTGATTCAGCCAGTTCCCCTGAGGTTCTTTTCAGCTAGCGTCACGATTTCCTTCATTTTCTTCCCAAGTGATCTGGAATACACGCCAAGCTGATTGCTCCGCATTCGAGTTTTACTACATGATAATGTTACTCAACAGTCTAAATTTCCTCCTGTGCATTTGTTGAGCGATTGGTCTTTGGCCGGGTCGCCGCCAGAATCTCTCATGGGACACAATGTCATTAGTATTGGGCACGGTGGACAGCTGTTGATGAGTTCCACGCCAAGTCTCTTAACCATATAGAGCCAGAGAATGACTGAATTTTAATCGTGTTCCTTACGCTCAGTGTAACAGAATTCCGCTCTGATTTCAGAATAATAATAATGAAGGTTTGTTCTTTGCTTTACTGATTGTGAATTTGACATTCATATCTGTGCCACCTGTAGTTAAACCTTGGTAGTGTTTGCTCAGGCAGTTTAATGAGGTAACCTCTTTTAGATTTCTCCTATCGATGGTAAATAGTTGGTTGTTTGGCTAAACATTTGATGTAAACTGGTTCAGTCACTTCGATGGATGTCATAACTCTGCACTTCTAAAGATTTTCTCTTTTCAGGAAGCAGGTGACAAGTATCTCTTTGAGATTTACTTACATAAAATCTGATTTTCATTAGCATTATTACTAAGTACTTTTCTGAAAGACAGGCGTGTTATTTCCTCGATGGGAACAAACATATCATACAGCAGTATTTTGACGGTCTTATTATTTCTTCTGTTATTGTAAAAAATTAAAAATATAAGAGTAAGATTTCTTAAGTTTTGGATAATTGTGGGTAGTCAGCTAGAAAGCTTACTGTTCATTCTTGTTGGAATTTACCATTAGGCTTGCAACCTTGAAGAAATCCACTCTGAGGGTTTTCTGTAGATTGTATCCGACCGCTTAATATCAGATCAGAGCGCAGCGTGATAGATAGCAAACTTGCTTGGTGACCACGGTAAAAACTTGACTGACAGAATTCAATCTTTGATTGGACCCTAGTCACTGGCTAGTATCCAGTACAGTCCTACAGGAGGTCCGCTGCGAGCCCAAATAGCTCAGTGGTAACGTCTCTGACTGAGCCACTGGGTGACGCAAGTCCGAATCTCAGTACCAAACTAGGAAGTAACAGTTGTTCAGTACTCCCAGGTTTTCCAGTGGTTCTCTAACTGATGTCAGCTTATAATGAAATCCTTCATGCTATCAAACTAAACCCCTGCAAAACCAATACCTGAAAATTAA